TCAGCAAAGCAACGATGCTATACTTTGATCTAAACAAAACCCGATTATTCTTGGCGGCGGAGAAAGCTATAAGAAGAGGAGGAGGATGTCCACAGGCCAGTGCTGGGGTTGTTCTCCAACCCTAGGACACATCCCTAATGGACCCAACTTGATACACGGCCTATTCGGCCCAAAGAGGTCACGTGGCACCGTGGACAGAAAAGGACTCGATAGTAAAACGAAGATTATGGCCCTCCAGAACTCATATGGACATGAGGCTAGGTCCATTTAAAGTAGACTTGACAAGCTTTCCATGAAGTACTTGCACGCCCAAATCGGAGTTCGCATGAAGTCGTGGCCGCCGTCAGAAGTTGGCACTGTGCTGCAGTTCAAATCCATCCTGCACGAATCCTCTCCCCGTTTGATCCTCTCCATTGTTCCTAAGTAAAACAAGAGTGCATGTGTCTTCGGGGTATAAATAAGAATCATATGAATTTAAGAATGAACGCACTTGATAGTTGAGTTGATGTGCACGAGCGCGGGTAATAGGACCATGAAGTTGTACTTGTGGAGGCGTGGATGTATCATTGGTGTTGATGTCCTCATCAGGAAAACATCGCACCCACGACTACCAAATTTGGCATTAATTCACCAAAGTTTGCCGTGCGAGTCACGGAAAGATTTTTCGAAACGAACGCACCCAATCCACTCCAATATATCCAAAACTCATGTTTTGGTGCTTTTTGAACTTTTTTCTGTTCCGGTAAAAAAACATCGCACCCACATGTGCCAATATTGGCATTAATTCACCAAAGTTTGCCGTGCGAGTCACGGATAGATTTTTCGAAACGAACGCACCCAATCCACTCCAATATTTCCAAAACTCTTGTTTTGGTGCTTTTTGAAATATTTCGTTCCGGTGAAAAACATCGCACCCACGTAATGCCAAAATTGCATAAAATGATACTATTTTCTACGTGAGTCACGGCGAGATTTTTCGAAACGAACGCACCCAATCCACTCCAATTTGGTGTAAAATCGAGTTGATCTCCAAGTCGGACTGCGCATCGGCCAAGTATCGTATCGGCTGGAAACCGAACAGAAGCTTGGCTTGGCCAATATGGCAAGTGGCAGATACGGTATAACTTGGGTTCAAGATAACCGTCATTGCCAAATAAAGATAGAGCTCAATTAAGGTAATTGTATCTATTAATTAGGATATTTGAGTTGGTTTGTTAGAGATATGGTAAGAGACCTGTATATGGTCTTGTTTGTATTTTATCTTTAGGAAGGTTTGAGTCGTGTCCATAATGGACTAAGTCTATACTCGGGGTATAAATATGAACCCCATAGCATTATAATACGGGATACAAACCAATACAACTTCGGCGCATCGCCACCTTTTTCTCTTTTACTTTTCGATGAGTTCGCTTCGCAAGAGGTAACATGTCTCGATGGCTTGTGCTATCGGGGCTATTATGTCGTTTTAGATATTTTAGTCCTTTTATCATGACCATTGCTATCATATGTCTCTGTTAATCTAGTCTCAGCACATCAATTTACTTCTATCGACTGCTTCTTGCTTTAGGGTTCCTACCGGTATCGGCTAAATTGTGTTGCTTGATTAGATTAGCTTAGACATCTACCACCCTGAAAATTCAGTCAACGGCTTGATTGTCTAGATATCATGTTTCTTTTCATACTTAGTGCCGCATCAATATATTCGACCTACTAAGTTGTGTTTAGAACCATGATCCCTAGCCTGCTTCTTGACCGTTAATAAGGGTAGTATCGGGGTTTCGATCGTTCTTACTAATATACATACGTGCTCCTTTACTAAAGTTTTAGTATATTTGCCACTTATATTGACAGATCTTTCTATATAATTATATTAAGCTAAATTGGTATTGGCTGGGCTATCTAAACTACTAACCAATCACAGTTTGATATATTTATATAGATTGATTTGCCTATATAAGTTTGTACTAGAGTATTAGCTAGTACATTATCTTCCTTGCTTTAAATATTGTTCCATCGGCTATCTTCATAGTATTGTCTTAAACTTCTTTATTAAATCTGATAGACAGTATTACAGCTGATGAGACATGTTTAGAGTTTAATATTCACTTATCTACACAGTCTATAGCTGATTTGGTCTAACTACATCGGCTAAGACCACCAATGATATGCTATCGGCCTATCGGCTGACTAACTCTGTTTTTTCTTGTTTTTCTTGATGAAGGATCAAATTAACTGGCACACCCCTAACACACTCGAGGCTAACCTTGGATCCGCACTGAAGTTAAGCAGATCTCACAGGGCGCCGTGTTTTCACATCAACAGTCACGGAGAGATTTTTCGAAACGAACGTACAAAATCCAATCAAGTATTTCCAAAACTCGTGTTTTGGTGCTTTTTGAACTTTTTTCGTCATGGTAAAAAACAACGCACCCACGTGTGCCAATATAGGCCAATATTAGCATTAATTCACAAAATTTCGCCGCGCGAGTCACGGAGAGATTTTTCGAAACGAACGCACCCAATCCACTCCAATATTTTAAAAACTCATGTTTTGGTGTTTTCTGAAATATTTTGTTCCGGTAAAAAACATCGCACCCGCGTGTGGCAATATAAGCCAATATTCCCATAAGTTAACAAAAGTTCACCACGTGAGTCATGGAGAATTTTTGTGAAACGAATGCACTCAATCCACTCCAGTATTTCTAAAACTTATGTTTTGGTGCTTTTTGAAATATTTCGTTCCGATGAAAAACATAGCACCCACGTGTATTTCCAAAACTCATAGCACTCAATCTGAGGAAGGCGACGCGCAGAAGGAATCGGCAGCGGTGAGGTCGAGGTCATGAAGCTCCTGTTGCCACTCCCTCCTCTCCCGTCTCCCACCTGCCACTGCATGCTACTCCCTCCTCTCTTGTCTCCCGTCGGCCGCCGCACGACGCTCCTCAACCGCCGCTCCACCCGAGGCCCGCAGCCGCCCCGCTCCGCGGACGTCAGCGACGCCGGAAGAGAGCGACGAAGAGAGGAGAGATAGGGAGAGAGGAGGAAGAAGAGGCGGGAGGGCGTGAATGACATGTTGGTCCCACGTGAGCTGCACAATTTAATTATTTGTTTTTTTGTGTAACAGCATGTGGGACCACAATTTTTATTATTTTTCCAAATTAAATTGCTACGTAAGTGCCATGTCAATAACAAGTCAGATGAAAACCGAGTCAAATTAGCCACGTAGATGCCACGTTAATTGAAACCGCCGTCCAAACAGCCTTGAGACTTATTTTACACCGGTTTTAACAGTTGAGGGATCCATTGTATCCAGCGGTTGAGGACGAAAATCGGATTCACTGACAGTTAAGGGACCTAAGATGAACTTATTCCTTACAGAAAAACCCATGGGAAAAAGTAAACCGAACGTACCTTAATTTGTTATCGAGTTACGAAATCGTCCCCAAACCGCAAAAATGGATATATGACCCCCCTCGACTTACAAAACCATTCACATTAGGTCCTTCGGTGGTTTTGACCCCAGTTTTATCCGACGTGGCGACTGAGTCAGCATAGGACCCACGTGGGCCCCACATGTCAGGATGCCATGTCACACCCACTCTCTCTTTCCCCTCCTCTCCCTTCCTCCTCCTCTCTCTCACTTTCCTCCCATTGGTAGGGAGAGGGTCGTCGGGGCGACACGATAGCGGGCGACGAGGCGGCAGAGGCGGGGCCGGGCGATGCGGCGGTGGGCGTCGAGCAAGCAACAACCCACGCGGAGAGTCGCCCAGAACGCCCTGTGCTGCCGTGCCGCCGCTCAACTCTCCCTCCACCTGCGCGCCGACCAACCAACCAACTGCAGATGCATGCAGTCTGCAGCTAGCTGTTGATTTTGCTCCTATTTCCCCTCGTGGTTTCGTCTCGTCTCTTCCTTCCCCAGCTGCGGGCTCACCGCGAGGTTGCCTCCGCGCCTATGCAAAAGCCGCGTGCGCACGCGCCCATCCTTCTAGGCCAAGAAACCGCGCCCGATTTATGGCGGCCCAGTGATGGCGCAACAATACCGGCGTCGTACCTGTAGCCGCGCCACGGGACAAAGGGCGGCATTGGAGCACGGCGCGGGCGAGAAAAGCAAGCTTGCGAACCCGAGCGCTGGCTTCTCGTCGTCCCCGGCGTCGCCCTCGCCGCCTTCCACCTCCTGCGGCTCGAACAGCTGGCTGTGCGTCTTGAGATGGAAGAAGAGGTAGGCGACGTAGGACGACAGCATGACGAAGCTGCAGGCGTGGGAGAGGTCGAGCGACGAGGCCGTTGTGGCGGCGACAGAGTGCTCGCCGGAGGCGACGGCGTAGCGGAGTAGGAGCGGGGCGGAGTGGCAGAGGAGGCCAGTGCTAACGTCGGATTAGTTGCAGTTGTAGGGCTAGTGGACACCGAGGTTGACGACGCCGCCGCAGAAGAGGGAGGTGCCGAGGACAAGGAGGAGGTTGGAGAGGATGGAGCCCAACAACGAGCAGTTCACCAACTCGATCGGCGACGCCCCCTCCACCGCTGCCAACACTCCCCCCCACCCCGCAACCGCCGCCTTCTCCTCCTCCGTCGCTGCTGCTAGTGGTGACCCCCAATGTGGTGCCCAGCCCCGCCTTGACGGCACGGTGCGGCTGTCCACGGACCGCCTCGACGCGTCTGGCGATGGCGTTGCTGGCGGCAGCTTCCCCCATTGCGGCCACCCTCCTCCTCTCTGGCCTCACCCCGGCGGCCTCCTCCCCAACCGCCGGCCGCTTGCCTTGAGAAGAGTGAGAGAGAGGAGGAAGGGAGAGAGATGACATGGCATCCTGATACGTGGGCCTCACGTGGGTCTCACGCTAACTAAGCTACCACGTAGGATAAATCAGGGTCAGAAGGATCTATTGTGACCGGTTTTAATTAGTTAAGGGGCCAGATATATGGTTTTGTGGTTAGGGGATGATGTTGTAACTCATGACAAGTTGAGGGACCTTCGGTGTACTTTTTCCAGAACCCATGCCGCCACAGCGTCCCTCCCAGCGTAAATGGGCTTCTTGACTCCACTGGCCTCCCTCGATATCCGTCCCCGTCTTTCCTTCCCCCGCCGCCGCCGCCGCCGCCTGCGCCGCTGCGCTATCTCCAACACTGCGAACAGCGGTGCCGGCGGCCTGCTCCTGCTACTTCCGCCGTATACTCTCGCTTCTGACCCCTTGCGCTCAAGTCAATCTTCCCTTGCCCACGGCCTCGACTCGCGTCTGCTCGCGAGTTCGCCCGCCGCCGCCTGCGCCGATCTCCATCCCGCGAGCAGCGGTGCCGTCGTCTTGCTGCTTCGGCCTCCGGTTAGCACCCGTGCCTATGCACATCCCCTTTCTTTCTCATCCCTCTCTACCTGCACCTTTTATCTTATGCCCCACGCTAGGTACGCCCCCGCTGCTCCCCGCACCATGGTTGGGCTTTCGGAAGGAGAGAAGCACTTCATCCGCGGGGGCATCGCGCAGGACCTCCGCACCGACGGCCGCAGGCGGCTGCAGTTCCGGGCCATCTCGGTCGAGACCGGAGTCATACCTCAGGTCTTTGGATTTATTTCCCCATGTGTCTTTTCGATTGGGCGTGCAGGTCCTTGACCTTGTTCTGGATTTGGAGTATGCAGGCAAACGGCTCTGCGCGTGTTAGACTCGGTGCGACTGAAGTCATAGCTACTGTAAAGGTACGGTTTCTTGCACCATGCTTGAAAAGATAGAGAAGGGGGGGGGGGGGGGGTTGTCAAAATTTTCTGTAAGACCCTGCTCTTGCCGTTTGGGTGATCATCAACGAGCATTCTGTTAACAATAATACCAATACTACATCCTTGATTTTATAAGTAAAAAATCACAATCAAGAAAATTTTTAATGAGCTAAATCAGTGAGATGGGGAACTGCAGGTTCAAAATCAATCCATCAAAATGTGATTCAAATCACACCCAAAAAAGAATCGAAATATACTACAAGAAAGAAAAAAAGTGTGAGGCAACAAAATTCCAAATCACAAACCTATCGACTCCATTGATGACACTGATTCCATGGAGGGCTTGTTACGGCGGCGCCGTTGGTGACGGCCTCATCGGCCTCCTTGAGCAGCCGATGCACCTTCAGATTTGCTGCTGCAATTTCATCCTTCTCAGCCTGATGTGCTGCATGGAGGTCGATCTATCGAGCAGCTAGTGCTTCAATATCATTCTGCTTGCGGAAATAGTGGCATGCATCGAGGCCTCCCCAACTGCAGAGTATACTGACGCCGGCCTACAGGATATAGTGCAGATCGAGGTTGACCCAGCGGCAGCGGCAGAGATCGATGCCAAACTGACTGTGGCTGTGCAGATTGAAGTCGTGGTGGTGGTGGGAGGTGATGACGATGGAGAGGAAACATGGAAGCAGGGGCGATGGGGAGTGGAGCGAGGATGCGGTGATGACGGTAGAGGACGGGACGAGCCGTGTGGAAGGTGTGTGAAATGAAGTGAACGTGACTTTGAGGCTGAGCGCCCGGGCCCGATGGCCTAAGCCCAACTTCTGTCGGAAATAAAGTGTGCCCTGCGAGGCCACAATTTTTTTCCATCGGAATGGGCTGCAAACCACACTAAATTTAGTGCCTTACGGCCCATCCAAGCAGGCCTTTTGTTTGACCAGGTAAAAAAATTCCGGGCCCATAAATTACAGTGGTTTTGGGCCAATTACTGGGCTTCTAGACAGGCCCTAAAGGGAAGTCCTTTGTGTACTGTAATTAGGACCTCTTGTAACAAAACTGTGTGAAACTTCAAAATTCAAAAACTAGGTTAAGCAACATTTTATATTCTCGAAAATGAAAATCCTATGATCAATCAGTTGGTTATCATACAAGATCCCTAGCAAGCAAAATCCAGGTTAAGAAGCATTTCATATTCTTAAAGGTAGATAAGTGCCTAAACTATAAGACAAGTAAGCTTCTCCAGACCATACAAATGTAGAACAGATTGAGCTTACCATTGTGATTTATTAGTTATCAAATGATCATTTGTAGACCTTTTCTGCCACCTGCTGTGAATTTACTGTTGCAATACGGATCGCATTATTTTCTATTTTTTACTACTCTAAGGAGCTTTGAATATTTGTTATGATTTCAAAGCTGTTGTTCCTCTGTTTTTGCTTTACTTCACCCTCTTTTATTATTCTGTCATCTGCAGGCTGAGTTGGGGAAACCAAGCATTCTTCATCCTGATAAAGGGAAAGTTTCCATTTTTGTTGATTGCAGCCCAACTGCAGCACCCATGTTTGAGGTTGGTAATGTGGTGTGCTAGATCAAACTTACCCTATTCACTTTTCTGGCCTGTTTATCATGTTATTCCAACTTCAATTTTATAGATGTTTTACATAATTATTAATTAACATGAATATACAATTTGCCAAATTTATTGTCAAATACACTGTTGCAAACAGTTTCTGGCTATGAATAGTAAGGTGAGTAGGTATGAGTATGATGGATCCCTTGAACATTTTTCTGCATCAACGATATAAAGTTAGTTGACATTTTACTTATTGGCCATAACCATACACCCCTGTTGCAGATAGAGAAAACCAATTATATGCTGTTGACAATATGTCAAATTCTAAGTTACGCCACTGACGAAGCATGATTCTATTATCGCAAAATCTAAATCGAGAGCACTCTTGATTTATAGTCATAACGAGCGACCCCTATCCAGATATGTGTCAACTTGAAGAATCTTACTTTACTAGAGTACTAATCCATTAAGTAAGTAGGGGAAATATCCTATCATCTATACTTCAAATAAAATTTTCTCTTAAATTACTCATCCGATTTACAATCCGATTACACCGTTGTGTTCGTAATAATTAAATCTTTACAACAAGATCTCACATGATTATATTTTGATGAAAAATCACAAATTACTTTTATGATATGTCTAAGTTACTTTTAGATTTCACTAAGTTACTTCTTAAACATATAAAAGTAAATTCAATAAAACCTAAAAGTAATTTACATATATATTATAGAAGTAACTTATAACAAAAAGAAAGTAACTTTAATTAATACCTTTTTTATTGAACAAATTATCATATATAATTATCATATATTTAAATTACTTTTAGATTTGATTAAAATACTTCCTATACATTCATAATGGTCTGAGGTGATTACTTTTATTGTGTTTTTAGTTAATTCCATAATTTGTGCTGATTAATTTAATTTCTAGATAGAGTCATGTTTTTATCTCTACAACGGATTTACTTCAAATGGCATGCCAAAGTTACCTGTTCTAAGTTACTTCCATAATATATGTAAATTACTTTTAGGCTTTACTGAATTTACTTTTATATATCTAAGAAGTAACTTAGTGAAATCTAAAAGTAATTTAGACACATCATAAAAGTAATTTGTGATTTTTCATCAAAATATAATCATGTGAGATCTTGTTGTAAAGATTTAATTGTTACGAACACAACGGTGTAATCGGATCGTAGATCGGATGAGTAGTTTAAGAGAGAATTGTATTTAAAGTATATATGGATGATGTCTCTTATAGATGGAGTGGTAGCTGGTTTAGACAAACCAGCTACCACTAGCTGTGTAGTTACGTCCTTCTATTATGTCATCGCTGCAAAGCAAATGTTAATCAAACTCTGTTATGTGTGTGTATTTGATGTAAAGGCTAAAATACCCTCCCTTTCTTTATGCAAACAAGGCAGCGAAAAGCAATAGACAATAGAACATAGAAAATAGAAGAGAATTCCTGGTTGATAACATATTGGTTTGCTGTGATAATAATGACATAGTGCACATAGCGTCCTAGGGACAAATGGTCTTTTTACCTAGGTAAATAACGATGAAGGTATATAAATAAGAAAATGAGTTTGCCGGTGGCACACATAGAACTGGTGCTTTGTCAGTGGTATCTAATGGAATTTCTCGATTTCCTATCACATTTCACTCTTTTCACAGCAATTGATTGGAAAACACTCCTTTGGCTTATTTGGTACATAATGTGGCCTCATACTGCATTTCCTGCAGAGTTAAAAACTTTGTGAGAAACATAGGTTTTTCTGAGCTTTAGTTCACAGAAAATTAACTTATCATGTGGTCTTCTTTGGCATATTTTTATATAGATATGAGATTGTGAAATATCTCATACATTCTCTTAACTTTTTGAGCTGCTGCCCACATAGTTGGGATTAAGGGTCTGTTTGGTGGAGCTCCAACTCCTAAATTTAGCTTCAGGAGTTAGGTCTGGAGTGGAGTTGTGGAGCACTCCACCTTCCTAGTTTATTTTGTGAGAGCACTCCACCCAACTCCGCTCCCATTTTAGGTGGAGCTAAAACTGTTTGGCTGGGCTCCAGCTTGAGAGGTGGAGCTGGAGCTGTGCCAAACAAGGCACTAATTGTATAATTAGATCTTCTCTATAACTATCTAATGATGGTTTATTAAATGAGGACATATTTGGTGAAAATGAGCTAAGTGTTGGAAACTTATGAAAATCATACCTAAAAGTTTTGTAAATTCATGAAAAAATTACTAGAGATAGGTGTAGATATGAAATACATTCTCACCAGATCTCAAATCCAAACTCAACACTATTCACTCGAAATTTGTCTTCTTTGTTTCTCTTAAACGAAGTTGAGTTTGGATTTGAGATCTGGTGAGAATGTATTTCATATCTACACCTATCTCTAGTAATTTTTTCATGAATTTACAAAACTTTTAGGTATGGTTTTCACGAGTTTCCAATACTTAGCTAGTTTTCACCAGATATGTCCTCTTATTAAATAGCAGTAAAGTTGAGCAGTGGTCCTACTAGACGCTTTGCTGCATGCTGTCTCACATGTTGCTCTCAGTGCAGTTGAACTATTAAAACATATTCTTATGTGCTATTTTATCAAATATATGGTGAACGTAAGTACTATGGATGGAAAGTGTTCTCTGAAACAATAGAATAAGCCTTGAAGTGCTAAAGTAATTCCTATTACGCACCATGCAATGAAACCATGTGCCTTGTATTTCTCCTCGTTTGTTAAGTCATTTTATTTCAAATATTCATTTCCTAAAATTTTAAAACCACCTAAGAAAGCTACAATTGCAAACCTATAAATTATATACTATTTTTTCTAGCAATGTTCATTATTCCCAGATGTGCACAGGAGAGCATTAGAGTGCAATATGGGAGGAAAAAAATATGCTGCATGGACTCGATTTAAATCAACACTCGATATTAATATGTATTTTAATATTGTGGACCTCTGGGCCATGGCTGTGAAGTGTAAATATGTTCTCATAAAGTAGTAGACACGTTCATGATTGTAATTACATCCTCTGAAGTAGTAAAATGCATCCCTGACATGTTGGAGCGATGGTATCACCATGGGTCCTAGATTCATATACATATATATGTTTTTGCACATGCTTAATCTATTTTGCATATCTCTTCTTTCTTAGGGTAGAGGTTCTGAAGAATTTTCTGCTGAGCTCTGTGTTGCACTGCAAAGATGCTTACTCGGTGGTAAAAGTGGGGCAGGTATGTATAATTTGATTGTTCTTCATTGGCTCTCATGTTTACAGTTGTTTTTGTGTCTTGGTACTTCCTGGAGTCTATGGGGGGTGGATTGGTTTGTATGCCATCCAAGCTTCTGAAATTTTGATTGCCAAAATTTAGCAAAGGTTGATGCTAACAATTTGATATACAGTGACTCCATTCTTGTATGATTTCAATTTCATTTACTCTTTTAGCAAGCTTTTTCTTTTGTCATAGGCTTCCTTACAATTGAAACTACAACTTCTTAAATTTAATTTGATTAGATTAAATTTGTATCATACACTGAATAGCGGTTTATAGTTTGGAATTGGATACACCGATCTGAAAACAAATTCATCAAGATACCAGCTAAAGTGAGCTTATAATTTCTTCTTAGCTGAAGCATGTTGATTCCATTGTCAGTATCAGTTTATCAGCTGTTCATCACCATCAAATTCTATTATTATACCTATTGGTGCGCATTACTATTTCCATAACTAGTATTTTTTTTACTATATGGACAGAGGCCCCCTTTGATTCAATGGAAAATCATAGGAATTTTGTACGATTTCATTCCTATAGGATTTTTTCCTATATAGCTCTTTGAATCAAAGGAACGGACCATTTGAAATCCTATGAAATTTTTATGGAATGCCTCATTCCATGCAAGTTTTGGAGGAAATTTAACATGAGGTAGAACCTCATGAAAAGTTTCCTTTGAGTCTTTATCTCTCCTCAAATTCCTGTGTTTTTCCTGCGGTCCAATCAAATGGCCGTTCTTATGTTTTTCTTGTGTTTTGCAATCCTCTATTTTACCGTTGCATTCCTGGAAGAATCCTGTATTTTTCCTATTTCTTTGTTTCTCCATTCCCGCAATTCGAAGGGGTTAACTCTTGTTCTAACAGTCACCATATATGTCATAATAAAATGTAATCGTAGGCAGGTATATAGTTCTCATGTGGAAACCTCTGCTAACTGGTGGTTACAGGATTTTCTGGTTGACTGGTCCCAACTGTGATTAAGTAGGCTAAGGCAAAGTTCACAAGTTTTAAATTTTAATTTTTGAATAATATAAGGACTGTGGAAGCCCTTTTGATCATGAAATCCTGTTGATAGATGCATCTTCTTTTCTGTGGATATAGCAAGCATTAGCTCCCATATAATCTGCAAGCATATTAACTACCTATTCAACATCTTATTCCAGAAAAACCTGCACATTTCCGTGTTTCCTTAACTTCTTCGTTGCTTCTAGGTGGGAATAGAAAGGATTGCAGTTAACTTGTTGGTTGGAAACAGGATATTTGTTTCAACTGTCACCATGAACAATTGTTTGTTTCTGTTGTAAGTTGTAACATGGAACTCGAGCATTCATAACCAGCATATCTAATGTGTATCTCATGTTTGAGTGGCCACTACCTGTGTTCTAGAAGCATAGTTATTAAGGCGGTATGGCGAGCTAAGGCGCTGCACACCCGCCTCAACGCTATTGCGGTATGGCGGTAAGGCGTGGCGACGCCCTAAGAAGGTACCCTGCTAGCGATTAGAGGGGAAATAGGGAATAATTTGGTGTAGAAAAAATAAAAAATGACAAAACAGCCCATCAAACCAACCCTCATAGTGGCCCACAAAGCCCAATAGCATATTGGTCAAACATCTTTGCCCTAAAAACATCGCGCATTAGATGTCCACAGCCGCTGCCACATGAGAAAACCAAGCGAAGAAAAGAGGAAGGAAATAGGAGCCAAGCGAAGCAGTGGATGGAGCAGCGACGATGCCAGCGGGGAGGTGAGGGAGACACAGATCTGCCGTAGCCAGAGCTGATGGTGATGGGAGTCGTGGATTCTGAGACGTCGCTGCTGCTGCTAGGGTTCCAGATGAGAGGGAATCCTCTCTCTCTCTCTCTCTCTGTCTCGGTGATGTTTTAGGGTTGCCATAATCCCCTTATTATCTCCTGGCGTGGGATTGGGGTCGCCGTAATCGCGTCAGGATGCCCTGGAGCCAGCAGAGCGCCACGACGCCTTCGTGACGCCTTCGTGACGCCTTAAAAACCATGTCTAGATCATTGACCAAAATGAATTGTACAATCTCAGGGTTGTCCGGGTATTATTTGATCTCAGAATGAATTTCGTGCCTGATTACAAGGTTCCCTGTAATCTTCATCCTGGAATGGTTAACTTATTACATTCCTAGGTTATGGAAGATTAGTAATTACTGATTTAAGAAATTTCCCTTCTGTTTCAGGTCATAAACCTGCTTATATTCAAGAAAACTTTAATGAAAAGTAGATTCTCGTTTTGTTTTGCTGATTTGGTTTTATTTTTTGAAGAACATGCCTCATGCTTGCTAATAGTAATTGTCATCTCATTGGCTTCAATGTAATGAACCGATGTTTCAGGGGCTGCAATTGATTTATCCTCACTGATTGTCGTTGATGGAAAGGTCTGCTGGGATCTCTACATTGATGGACTTGTTGTTAGTTCTGATGGAAATTTGCTTGATGCATTGGCTGCTGCAATAAAGGTAATTGACACTTAAATTAGACAATATCTTCTACGAAGTTTAGGTCGTTGCAAATATTTAGTGCAGCCAGGAAATGAAGCTACAATATTATACTGGTTAAAAAGGTTAATAGATTTTATAGAACATTATGATGGTTTTGGAGATTGGAGGGCCCTGCTTTCAAGTTTTGTAAAAATGGTCTTATGCAATGAATCCTCTATCTTGTTCAATAAAAAGAAAATCCATGATTATCTTTGCATTCCCATTGAGGACTGTATTACTCTGTGAAAGAACCATGTTACCTTCATGTTATATTATTATTCTTTGTTGTTACATTACTCCACTTTGTAAAGTAGTGGTATACAGTAGATGCATTTATTTGTATCTATGCATGCATAAAAAGGCGTGATATTTTTTTCTTTTGTAGACATGCAAATGCTTGAAGTCTTTCTAGAATATACTACCTCTGTTCCAAAATATAAGCATTTCCAGGATTCAAATCTTGTTCCACAATATAAGCATTTCTACCACTATTTACACCACTACTTGTCCCATCAATCACTTTCCATCCAATTTTTTCCCCATCCAACCCCCAACCCCCAACCCCCCTAACTCTCCCTCATTTATTGAGGGGCACCAAGTCTTTTTTCCTCAACCTTAATCTTTGCTAAACAACCTAGAAATGCTTATATTCTGGATCAGAGGGAGTATATGATAGTTCACTTTAAATGGGGGCAAACATGCAATATCAAAACTTTATACCACTAATGAATTCACCATATAATGTTCTGTGTTAGAAGATAACTGTTTTTAGAATATATCATGATATTTTGTAACTTGGCATGCACATGTTATAATGTTAACTCACATTCAACGGACTTATTAATTTCTGGTGAACAACTCAACCCTGAGCCACATGAACTCAAGGTGCTGGCACAGAGTGTTGCCAGATAGCCTGTCATGTGGTGCATCCATGACGGCAGTAGCCGCAGTTGACACATTGCAGTTAACTTATTTTAGCTATTATCAATGATATCCATTCAATTAGTTGGGTTGTCATCTTTATTTAGCATCCAGCAGAGTTTTGTATGCGGGTATGACCATCTCTAGTTGTTTGGATGCTATACCATGCATAAGTTGTATGTGGGCTAATGATCTGTTACCAAGTAATGAAGAAGAATGAACACTGGTTCCCTCTTGGATCTTCTCCCACATCTACAATCTCTTTGATCCCAATCAAGCTGATGCTGCAAAGTTGTCCTCCCTCCTGGTGGCATTTAACTGTAATGATATAAGATCATTACAAAGGCAAACTTCTGGTAATATGGTTATTTCAAATCACCTTGCCAAAAGTACTGAACTGATTTTTATGTGCTTCGGCCCTGTGGGCAGCAACCAATGGGATATGAGCAGGTAGACACTCAACAGCAGCTGAGCAGCTGGAAGTTAAGTCCAAATTTGTTAGCTTGAGCTAACCTCTTTTATAAAAGAGAGGATCCATACCATTCATTCAAGGAAAGAAATAAATATATCAAACTTCACATATCAAATCCCATCCTTGCCTTTGTGGTGTGGCTACCGATCATTAGCCTGGTCGTGCAGCTTGTGTCCTGGGACATCTAACCGACGCATGTGGTTCAACTATTGATCGAATTCTTGCATAGCTTAATACATGTCTAATCTGTAACTATTATCTTAAATCAATATGGTTGAGGTCAAATAACATACAGAACAAGACAAACATGAATGGAATTAATACAGAATTTTTGCGAGAGCTGTGGCATTTTATACACTTTTTTCGTGGGTAATGGTATCTTATTACATTGGTATCTTATTACATGGAGACAAAGAGATTGCTTGTTGCAAAAAGAGTAAATATCATAGCACAGCTGTCATTTTTTACTTGACAACAAGAAGTCATATAAGATACTATAAATAAAACATAACTTTCTTATGCAAAGAATACACAATATGCATTCTGAAATTTACGTTTTCCATGTTACCTTTTTCAGTAATCTGTTTATATTAAGAAAAAAGTCTTAACTATCTTAACTATCAATAAGGTATAACTTTCATCTATCAGGCCGTGGCAAGTTTCTTTTGGTTCCCACATTGTTGTGCTTTACCCAAATCAGTACTCTACCATAATACATGTAAAGATACAGACACCCTTCTATCTGAAGAATAGTATAGTGGACAAGTTAGTCCTAATCATGGCATTTCTTGGGAAATCTTCAAAATAGCATTAAAAAGATTGTGGTCTCTAAATGTTAAAATGCACTACATCAGTAAGGGCCTGTTTAGATCCATTTGGAATAGCAAATGGCAAATGGTAAAAGTTTTGGTGGCAAAAGTTTTGGCATTGCAAAAGTACTAGTTGGTGTTTAGATGCGTCTTAAAGTTTTGCCATTCTAGCACTAAATTGAGAGAGAGAAAGAGAGAGGGAGTGGTCCCAAAGCACTTTTTGGCACAATTTGCTACTATGGACTAGCAAATGACAAATGCCAAATTGTCAACTTTTGCTACTAGTGTTTAGATCCAAAATGGCAAAAAGTGCTTCAAAATAGCAAAACTTTTGCCATTTTGGAGGATCTAAACAAGGCCTAAGTGTATTTACTCACTTTGTATACGCCTAGGTGAGTTAATGAGGTTTTTGTCCATGTTCATCGAATTTGAGGGCCTGTTGGGTACAGCTCTAGCTCCACCTCTCCTAGAGCTGGAGCTCAGCCAAACAGTTTCAGCTCTCTCACAAAATGGGAGTGGAGCTGGGTGGAGCTCTCTCACAAAATGAACTAGAGAGGTGGAGCTTGGTAGAGAGGTGGAGCTTGGTTTAGGCAGCTCCACAATTCCAATCCAAACCCAACTCCTGAAGCTAAATATAGGAGTTTGAGCCAAATAGGCCCTGAGATATTGCTGGGGAATTCAGTTTTCACTTATCCATTTGCATCCCTCAACGTGTACCATATTCATGTTTGCTTGGCGATTTTGGCACATCGCCTGCCTGCCATTGCATACATTTGCGGTGTGCTAACTATTATAACATACAGGTGGCTTTGAGTGATACAGGTATCCCAAAAGTCAATGTTTCTCTTAGTGCTACAACAGATGAGGAACCTGAAGTTAATGTTAGTGATGAAGAATTTTTGCAATTTGACACCTCCAGTGTGCCTGTTATTGTTACATTGACGAAGGTACTGATTTTTGCATAACTCCATTCTTTGAAGTTGAGAGGATTATTTTTTTTGAATTTCATTCTTTTTTTGAGAAAGAAATATGCTCAATTTTCATGATAATGTTTTCTAATTGTTCAAAATTATTATAGAATTTCTTTTATACTTAGAAATTTGCTCTGGTTACATAACCTACTTATTTTGAAGAAAATGAATTCCATTCTTTGAAGTTGAGAGGATTATTTTTTTTGAATTTCATTCTTCTTTTGAGAAAGAAATATGCTCAATTTTCATGATAATGTTATCTAATTGTTCAAAATTATTATAGAATTTCTTTTATACTTAGAAATTTGCTCTGGTTACATAACCTACTTATTTTGAAGAAAATGAATTTCCTCTCCATTGTTATGTTCAATTTGCCCATTGAACATTGGGTGGATTGTGGATGATCCAAGTAAGTTACGGTTTACATGGGCTAATTTATATTACTTATGTCTACGTAATAAGATTTATGTAAGCCTTTTTAGGTATTTACTTGCAAATATTGTTGAATAACATTACTTTTAAACACATTCATGCACATTTTATTTTACATTTCTAATTCTTATTCTGAATTATAATATTGTTTTAGTATTTTATTAATTTTAGATATTCCAAATTTTTGTTTACCAAGTTATTCCTGGTTTGCACTCTTATTTTAATCTGAACTGTTATAATTCAGTCAAACATTGATAGATGATTAGATTTATTTACTTTTTCTTTGATTAATATGAGATTGTAGTGAGTGCCAAATTATGCCAAGTTAGTAGTTACAGATACATAATTAGCATGGCCAATATTATTTCTTGAACTTATGTTTCAATATTTACATAGTCTTTCCTTTCCATTTTCTGATTTGTTAAGTAATTATGCTAGGTAGGTAAGCACTACATTGTGGATGCTACCTCAGAGGAAGAATCTCAGATGAGCTCTGCGGTTTCAGTATCAGTTAATAGGCATGGTCAAATACGTGGATTGACTAAGAGGGGCGGTGCAGGGTTGGATCCAAGTGTCATTTTTGATATGATATCTGTGGCTAAGCATGTAAGTCGACAATTCATCTCGGTATTGGATTCGGAGACATTAGCTGCTGAAGCGGCTGAGTAGAGAGGAAGGAGAGCAGAGGTTTTGATTATTGACATGCCAAGTTTGCAATGCATCTACCGGTTTCAGTTTTGCTCACAAAGATGAATTGTTGTCTTCTGAAGCGTACAATCTTACTGTAGCTTTATGCTGAAGTGAAAACGCATGGGATGCTGGCATGCTGCTGAAATGTATGCTTTTTAATTTATTCATAGATGCATTTAACTTTTTTGAGATAAGATACGTTTAATTTGGTATGCTTGCTAGATAAATTGTTGTATTGTACTCTCCAAATATAAATATTTGATGTTTAGAGCAAGATTCAGTTAAACTTTTAAGGGGCCCTTTCCACAATTTTGAGGCTCCTTAATTTTCATGAACTTTGGAATGGTAGAACAATTCGGAATAGGGCTCTAGGATCTTAGGAAATGGAGGATTGGCAAAAGATTTGTTGGAGGTAAAATTTACTACATGACACTCAATGTGTCTTTGTTGTAGAATACCCAAAGAACGAGTATTTGTAGTAGGGCATAGCGAAAGAAAATTTGGTAATTATCTAGGCTTCATGGTGCCCGGGCACCAAGATTTAAATTGAGTATATACCTAATTTAAATGAGTATGATTATTTTAAAACGTTCAGGTACGAACATCTTTTTGTTGGATTTTGATTCTAGGTATATAGCATCTAAACATATAATTATTTAGGTATGTAATAATTGATTGTTAAGTAAAATTGAATGAATTGTTTTGTTGCTAGGTATAGGTATGAATCAAATTCTTATGTCTAGGTATAAACTCACAATTTGAAAATTTGAGTGAATTTGTGTATTTCATACCTTGGTGCCTTGTATATATATACCTTGGTGCCCTAAAAGTTGGATATTTGCTGGTGGACACCACATCTATTAAAATAATAATTTCCAGTTGAAGAAGGGAAATAAATCGTGTGAAATGCTAAAAATGCCCTTGGGCCCACATGTTATCAACGGCACCGGCCGGACAGTAGGCGAGGTTCGGTGGTGGCAGCTGCGTGTGGAGGAGCGGCGATGCGGCTGGACGGCGACACCCGCGGCGCGCGATGTGAGGAGGCCTTCGGCGCTGTCGCCTTGGCCGCTCCGCCCTTGCCCTCCCGCTGCTGCCGGACCTGGGTACGGCTGATTAGCGACTGACCGCGCGCGGCCGTAGGCGTGCGGTTAGTCCGGCCCCCTTACGTCTCCTATGTACTACTACTAGCAGTATACTGTTCTCTCTCTTTATACTACTAGTACTATACTATATATACTATATGTATATAAATTTTGTATTACACTATACAAAGTTTTTACATATGTATATAATAAATATATTTTTATACGTATACACTTTTAATGTATAAATAAATAAATAAATAATACATATATATAGGATGACCATTATGTACACCCGTGAGTACATACAACCCCCCCCCCCCCCCCTCATATTGGATTATCCAATAGTATCTGATAGAGCCATGGTGACCGAGTGCATGCGTTTCAAATTTTAAATGCACCTGACTGATGATCTAAATACGTGGAGCTTATCGCTTCAAAATATTTGCAACATATACTTATTTCTTTCTTCAGAAAATAGTAGTATATACATACTATACGTACTTGTTCAATAACAGTAGTAATGTACTGATTTTTCAAGTGTTCAGTATACTAAATCTATAGGAGTAAGGAGAATGTACTGATTTTTCAAGTGTCAGTATATTATTAAATCTATAGGAGTAAGGAGTATGTACTGATCGGGTTGAGTATGTACTGATTTTTTTAATCCAGTATATACTGATTTTTTTAATCCAGTATATATACGTCCAGTATATACTAGATTTTTCAAGTATCAAGTATGTATTAAATCGATCGATTAAGGATTATGTGCTGATTTTTCAAGCATCCAGTATGTATTAATCATCAATCGATTATAGAGAGTTATATGTACTGTTTTTTCTATACTTTTAAGGATTATAGAGAGTATATATTAAGGATTGTTGTAGCATGTCAAATCGTGTTGTATATACTGTTCTATTATTTTCTAGAACCGGTGTATACTGATCCATAGGTGGAGCATATACTTTTTTTTTCAGGAATCGGTACATGACAGTATATACTTCTTTTTTTAATGACAGCATATACTTCTATTTAGTTAATAGTATATACTTCAGTTAGTAGCAGTACATACTATTTCTTAGGTGATAGCAGTATATAGTTTTTTAAGGTGATAGCAGCATATAATACCTTTTGTTTTACTTAGTAGTATATATTTCAGTTAGTACTAGTATATATTCTCCATAGATGATAGCAGTATAGACTTCTTTTTATAAAGTGGTAGTGGTATATACTAATATTAAGATAGTTACAGTATATATACCATTTTTAGTGAGTACTGGTATATGCTGTTTAATTTTTAAGATAGTAGCAGTATATGCTATTTTTTTAAGTTAGTAGCACTGTAGCAGTATATATATAGCAATACTCAGTGCTCCGGCGGCATGGGCGTATGATTGAAGAAGTATCAGTGTACTCTCGAATATACAGAAAAGCAATGTTTATTTTCAAAAAGGAGAACTATCCTCACTGACGTGAGGATATGAAGAACAAAATACGAAAGTATGCGCCAATTGAAAAAGAATGTACATTATTCGCTTCTAAACAGTGGATCTAAGGATCTTTCCCCTTGCCGTTGGGTTGTGTGTTGAGTCGACGTATGCTACCGCTCTGCGGCCGGCCACAACCAACTGCATGCATGCAACAAAGAAATTAGGGGCTTAATCATTCGAGGAAATAAAGAATGCATTTCAGAACAAAACATTCCTACTATATCGAATGTTTTCTATGAGCGAAGAAACAAAATCAGGAATTTTTAGTCTAAACTTTGGGAATAATTTATGTACATAGATTAGGGGGGAATGAATAAACTCATCTGATTGTAGATTTCCGATTCAGATATCAACACTCAAAACAGAGCTCGCCCGGCACCCAGGAGGAGATCGATCTGGTCGCAGCAGCCGGCCGGCATCGTTGCCATGGCCGTTGCCTTGCTTGATTCATCTGAAATCAAATAACAACTGATCGTGAAATAAGAAAAGCAAACTTGGTATCCGGTTGAAAAAAAAAAGTGGTTGTCACCATAATCGAGATCGAGACGATCGGTGGGAGCCGTAATCACTTTAGCCACCGCCTGGATGGGCTTCTCTAATCTGGTGTTGGGGAGGAGTGAGGTCTCGTCGTCGCCTTTGCTGGAACGAAGCGATGCCATGGATGTCCCGCCGCTTTGATGGTGTTGTCGTGAGATCCTGCGACGACGGCAGAGCAGAAGACGCCACGCCGATGCATCATGTCGTCACCTCCAGACTCGCCGTGGACGCCGAATCAACGATGGACACCGGAGTCGCCACCCATCACCCGTCCGAATCGCCTATAGATCACGCTCTCCGCCGACGAACAGATTAATCGATCCAATAGTCTCGGGAGGTATTTATGCGAGTTCCCGGTATTCCGATGAATAAGGGATAATTAACTGGTATTACGTATTTCTTTTGTCGATAAAAATCGAATCGGGTCCGCGTGGTGGATCCGGGAGTACGTACTCCTGAGTGTATATAATCATATATATATATATATATATATATATATAAAGTTTGTATTAGCATGTATATAAACTTTGTATACGCGCATATATAAACTTTGTATACGTGTATATACCAACTTTGTATACGTGTATACAAACTTTATATACGCGTGTATAGTTTGTATACGTATGTATAAAAACCAAAAACACACATACAAAATTTGTATACAAAGTTTTTATATGCGTATAAAAAGTTTGTATTTATACATATATAAAGTTTATATTCGTACGTATTAATAACGAAAAAGATACGGAAAGAAAATAAAAAGAAAAAACGAAACGGACCGAAGGAAAACAGAAAAACCAAATTAAAAATCCGAAGAGAAAAAAAACCGGAAAAAGAGGACGCTCACAAGGAAAGAAAAAAGAGAAACAAAAAAAAAAGGAAACCGCGGGTGCTACTCGCGACGCACCGTCGCCACCCCTCTCTGCGCGCGACACGCGTCCGGTCGCGCGGGGGAGGGCGCGCGCGACCAGTAACGGATTAGCTTTCTCGTTCCGGACCTCGCCTGCCGTCGTCGTCGGTGACATGTGAGATGAGAGAGAGAAGAGGAGGGGATAGAGAGAGCAGAGAGATATGAGAGCTGACATGTAGGCTCAAGGACAATTTTGATATTTTACACGATTTCTCTCCTCTTCAACCGGAAATTATTATTTTGATGGGTGCCGCGTCCACACCGAAGCAGCAAATATCTAACTTTTGAAAGTGTTTTCCCTTAAAAGTCACTTCGTGCCATGTCGTACAGGTAAAACCACCGTGAAGTCACGGTGTTCTGTAGTAAAATTTGCCCCACACACACACACACATATATATATATATATATATATATATATATGTATGGATAATATGGACCAAGGTTCATATGCACCTAGGGGCGGATCTACCAATATGGTATGCTGTGGCGTGCGCCATAGCTAGCTGGCATCGCCAATGACCCCACCCCGTGCTTCTCCATAGTATTTTCTACCTCAAAAGGCTGCCGAACAAGCCCCAACGACGGCGGTGCGAGCGCTGGACGCAGGAAGACGATGAACAGGTTGTTCCCCTGCCTCCTAGCGTGTTATTGGGCCTATATGGGGGGCGGGGAAAAGATGGCCCAAATCACTGCCGACCTGTGTAATGTCCTGGCCCACAACCCAATTCCAGAATTCCTTCTACCCAATTTCTCAATTTTAAATTGCAAATCCCTAACCCATTGGTCATTCTTTTAATTTTTTTTATTAAAATATTTACAAAATTAATTTTGCGTTTGAAAATTTTGCAAAACTAGTCACCCGCCGTCCTTGGGGAGGGCGATCCGAAAGGGCGGTTTTTGTGACGTGGCACACGGCCGTTAGGTCGTTCCTAACGGCCGGCTAGTGGGGGCGTGCCATTTTGCAGGTGGCCCCCTTGCCACCCTTACGGAGGGCGGTTTTGTACTGTTCGGGGGCCGCCTGCAAAAGGGTGGCGAGGGCGGCCTGGCTTTTTTGCAGGCGGCCCCCTTGCCGCCCTTACAGAGGGCGATTTAGCACTGTGGGGGGGCCGCCTGCAACAGGGCGGTGAGGACGGCCTGGAATTTTGCAGGCAGCCCCTTGCCGCCCTTAGGGAGGGCAGTTTTTCACTGTGCTAGGGGGCAAGGGTAGCCGTAGGTGTTTAGCTCCGTTTATTTAGAAAATTTAGTAAATCATCAGTTAAAAAATTGTGAAACAAGAAAAACATTATTACAATTGAATTGAATGGTATGTCGTTTTCGCAGTTTGGAGGCCAACAAGGGGTGTTTTTACATCGAAATAATTAATGGTTACTTTATAAACTACGTAAATCATCGTTTCGAAATAGGAGGAATAGTTTCAAATTATTCATTACATAAATCTAATTATTTTGCACTTAAAATTTTTTGAAATAGGTAAAGTGTCGTTTTGAATCGAACAAAGTACGTACATTTTTATAAAATTTGAATAATTTATTTTTTCATAAAGATTGGAGGGCAATGAGGGGGTTTGTTACCTATAAATTATAAGTTACGTATAATTCTCACGTATGTTGAATCATGTACACAATTGAAGGTAGAAGTTATAAAAATATAAGCAGATACTTATAAATTATAAGGATACAACGTATCGTGGGGTCAAAGAAACTTTGGAAATCGGAACGATAGAGCCATTAATTTGTAATTCGTGAGGCATAGAACAACACACCATAATAATGAAACATTATAATGACAAGATAGCATGGATAAAAGATATAAATTTGTCGGTCCTAACAAATCGAGCCTGAGCGTATATACCGACCCCTTCTGCGCTGTTCAACATGTATTGCATTTTGATGCTCCTTCTCTCGCTGGTACTCTACCTGTGTTTCAGACTCAGTTATCTTTTGGCCATCATATGTTGGATTGACATTGTCGATCCATAAAGTGAATGCGCACCTCCTTGGATTGCCCTAAGAAACAAACATAGTAGTTAGTCAGATATGATAGTAATAATAAGCAGATGCTAGTTAAATTTGGAATTTGTTATACATACAACGAAATCGTCGTCTACATTGGGGCAAACAAAGTATCTCCTACCAATTGTTTGTTATGCAAACGAGGTAGCCACCTGGCAATGATCTCTACAACCACACTTTGGACGCTCCGACCATTTAGGTAAACCTAATGGATTGTTCCTCCAGTCTAAGCTTGCAATTTGTACCTGACGTTCATACTCCATCCATGCCTAAATGAATTGCGTGGTCGTCTCAGGTTGCGTTATCGTTTGACCAATGGAAGTAACTCTGACCGTATCGATCCATTGTACGAATTGACATTTCCTAACTTCCTCCTGTTTGAAAAATTGTGTAAATAGAGGTAAGTGCATGAAAGTAGTGATTAGTGGTACCCACAAAAAAGATACTTACGACAAAATCATCGTCGTCAATGTTAGGACACACGAAGCATCTCTGTCCTCGAGTTCGTTGTCTTAAGGACCTTATCACCTAACAACGGTCACCACAACGACACTCTGGGCGCTCCCGCCATGTGGGGAGTCCCAGAGGATTTACCTGCCATTCTAAAGCTTCCGCATCAATCCGACGTTCATGCTCATCCTTCCGCCTGAGGTAGTCCGATCTTGATTCACTACGTGCATATGGACGTGTTCCGTCATTTTGTGGGTCCTCCGTATCTACCCACTCAATGTAGTTGCACAATGTACGGTATGTCTGCGTAAGATGTTATGATGGAGTAGAAATCGGTAAGCGTTTTATGCGTTCAGTACAGTTAATTGAACTTGTAAAGAATAAATCATACCTGATCAAGGTTTGCGCATTAGAAGAATCTCCTACCCCGAGTTTGTACCATGAGGCTTGACTTAAGTATGCACCGATCCCCACAAGTGCATAACGACCGGTCACACCATGGTGGAAACCAACCGGTGAAAGGATCGCTTCGCCAGTTGAGACGCTCCAGAAATGGTGCTTCCATTCTCTCTAGATGTGTGGGAATATGAACGATGATATGAAGAGGTTGTATTCGGCTTGTCTATTATATAGGGCCACAACTAGTGCTATAACTGGACTTAATGAGAGTTCATCTTGCCCACTTGATGTGACAACACGCACACGCGTGAGCAAAATTTCACTTTATCTAAGAGAGCAGGGCCGAAAGATGATCGTGACAACTCAAAGATGGAACATGTATGTGTGTAATGTGGTTTGCTGCGCTACCTGAAGGACCCGATATTCACGTGCCGAAAGTTTGTTGTTGTACGTGTAAGTAGTTGTTATATGTTTTATGCAGTGTATTGATGACACGAGCACATGCGAGCAGTAATTAATTCATGTGTGGAATCTGCGGTGCAAAGTTGATCGTGACAACTCGACGATACGCTTTGTCTATAATGGACTGGACCGTCAAGCGCCGAAAGTTAGTTGTCGTATGCATGGAATAGTTGTAGCAGTGGACATGTGGAAAGAACGAAATAGCAAAGCGTCAAGGCAATGGTACTGTAGTACACAACCGCAAAAGTAAGCCAAAAGTAATCCAAAAGAAAAGTGCACACAACCGCTCAATAGGTGGACCACTACTACCGAGGCCTCTTACCCCTGTCCCTCCTGCCCTGCGCCCTAACGTGTCCCTGGGAGTATGTCAGATGGTCCGGTGGTACAACACGGCCTGTCCGTCCCTCCTGCACTGGTGTGACCTGTGGCTGCTCCTGGGTGTTCGCCTCCGGAGCTCCGCCAAGCTGTGACGACCCAAGTATCTCCTGGTCCAGCGCGCCGTGAAAGTCGTCGTCATAGAAGTGGGCAGTAGGGCCTGTGCCACCGGCGTGTGAGGAAGAGGCTCCACTAGCAAAGATCCCTCGCGGCTGCGTGTCAGGACGAGGGCTCGGCGATCTCTGTGATGAACTGCTACCTCCAACAAAGACGCCGGAAGGCAGATAGGGACCTGTGCAAAAACACATTTAGTTAGGACGTAGTCATGTTACCGAGAATAAATAATATACACTTGAACTTACCTCTGGGCGTAACAGTACCGTGCGAAGCAACAGCTGTAGGTCGCACAACTCCGGTACTAGGGGCGCGTGGACGTGGTGGTACTGGACCAGCTAGAGGTACCGCGTCCACTGCAATGCGACAAGAAAGGACGCGCATGACAGTGTGCATATTCTCCTGCATCCGGTCAAAGGTAAGCCTCTGCTCAACATCACTCAAGTGTAATCCGGCGTCCAACCTGACTAGTACCGAGGTAATATTGGCGTTAACAGCTTGTGCCGCGTCGGCCTATTCAACACATAAGACCGCATGTCAGTACAAAAATAATTGAAAGAAGTGAGTACAAACAATTGCTAGAAGTGAGTACAAGTTCGACGTACCCCCATGAAGTAGTCTCGGTCACGGTGCGTGGGGTACTCGTCCCTGATAGTGGCAAGTCGCGGCTGTGGCGTGGCTGGAGTGAATGTCACATGGCCACGAGTGCGAGGCAAGTACCACCGGAGGTAGTCCCTGTAGGTGTCCTCTGAGTGTGGTACGAACTCGTCGATCACCTTGTCCGGGGCTAAGACCCAGTCATCCACGTACTGCTATACGCGTGGTGCCCACAGTGTGGCGGGTAGTTGTCCCCGGCGAGTCAACCTGTCATAAACCAAAAATTAAATAACTCGATGAATGAAGTTGTATAACATTCGGTGTTGTAAACCGTTGTACTCACGAGTGGTCTGCGGGGTGGACGGTAGGCGTTGTGTTTCCTGGGAAGACCTGCCTCAAGCCGAACTGCCTCATCACACGCTGGGGGCAGTGAGGCTCGATGTAGATGTCGAACACCATCGGTATGGTCGTGAGCCAGTAGGTCATGTCACGTGTGCACAAGGACGAAAGTCCAAGCAGTGCTCTCATTGCGACGGCCTCCTCCGTGTACGGCTCCCAAACAACGTCGTTGGGCTGGAGACGGTCGAACTCGAACACGAACTCAGGGTAACTCCGTCTCACCTGCACGTGGGCGTAATTGCGCTGCAGCATTGAACAAGGGAAACAAGGAAAGACATGTTAGTAATGACCGATGAATGTAATAAATGACAAAATCAATAGATTTTTTAGTTACCTCACGTCGACACCAGTACGTCCCCATCACGAGGTCGTCCTCCAGCCACTGTACACTGCGACCTATCGTGTAGGCTGTGTGGTCCACCACAGGCCGTCCTATGGCGAACCTCTCTGCTACCCAAAGTTGAACGAGAAGTGGGCAACCAGCGAAGATCGCTCCCGAGTCTGTCTTCGTGCACACCTCACAGAGCGCACGGTAGGTGGCCGCTAGCACTGCAGATCCCCAGCTCCACTATGGCACGTTCTCTGGCTCAACATCCGCAATGGCACATGCGTAGTGGATCAAACCCTTGTCCACAGCGTGCCTTTGGGTGCTGGTGAACATCATCCAACCGAACAGGCAGAGCAGGTACACCTCAAGGGTGCGTTGAACCAAGTACTCATCAGCGTCCGGGTGGAACTTGTCCACCTACAATTAATAACCAAAAGTTAGTACAAATTAAAATATTGGTGGAAATGAACATAAACCAGTTGGACCAGCTGACTTACAGTGAACTGAAGCAACCAAGCCTTCGTAGGCCCGACTGTAGTGTACGCGTGTAGTGCAGTGGGCGGTGGGAGATCTGGACGGCGCATCATGGGCAAAAAGCGCTCAGTGATATCCTCCTTCCAGTCAGCACCACCGTCTACCGGACCAACTGCGTCTCCTGCCAGTGGTAGTCCGAGTAGGTACGACACGTCCTGCAGTGTCGGAGCCATCTCCCCACAGGGAAGATGGAACGTGTGCGTCTCAGGCCTCCAGCAATCTACCAGAGCGGCAAGGAGTGACCGGTCTGCATCCCACCGCCTCGCTGGGTCTCTGTCGTCTGCCCTCGCCTCAACAAGCCTACAAAGAGGTAGAAGGCCTGCCGCACGCAACCTGCATAATGGAAAGTCGACACATTAGTACATCAAATTTACAGTTGACTGAAATGTGCTTCCAAAATATTGAAAAGAGGCGTACCACGGAACGTGCCACGGGTCGACATGCAACAGCTGGCGTAAAGGACGTGGACGGAAGGTGCCGAGCTGCGCACCCTGGACTGCAGAGAGGTACGAGCGGTGGCTCCTGTCAATGCCACAACTGAAGAGCTCAGGTGTGTCGTCCGCAATAGCTGCATCAAAAAGAAAGATCAGAACCATAATAAATGCAAACAACAACAATTCAAAGCACATGCTACAGAGATTATAACAATAGTACAATGCTATTTCACATTGTTCACAACACAACAACATACTGTTTAACGATTACAACGAAATTCATTGAAATTACAACATACGAGTACTTAGTACGACAAATTAGGATACAATACCGAATAGTTCGCAATACATGACTACTAATTTCAACACATTACACGATAGAAATACTTAGTCTCACGACAAATTAGGATACAATAGTGCTTGAGTTCATGGTTCAATAACACTATTAGACCATCGTATCGCCTCCCGCACGAGGACGCCTGGGACGTGCTCGCCTGTTTGTTGTTCCTTCCCCAGGTGGTCTTCTTCCATCACTTGCCTCTCCAGATGGACCAACATCCTCGGTGCTTGGACCCTGTGCAGTCTTCGGGCATTTCTTCTAAGTATGGCCGCGCTGGTCACACTTGCTGCAGCGTAGAGTCCTCCCACCAGCTTCCGACTCGTCTATGTCATTTCTGATGCGTCTAGTCTGACGCCGCCCCTTTTTCACCCTTAACTTCGATGGATCGGGAATGAAAAAAACTTGGGACCTCTGAGTTGTGTATGATCCTGATATCCCGAACCCATATATCTCCTCACTCCATGTATGAAAGATTGCTTCCTTCCTGAAATAAGGTGACACGTACACATCGGGACATATGCCACAGTCACCTGCCGCGGCAAGTACGTGAGAGCAAGGCAGATGTCGAAGCTTAGGCTTCATACAGGTGCAACTGCATCCTCCATCAACCTTCAGTACACATTCCTGCACGGCGTGCTTGCGCATGATTCCACGCCTGCTCCTATCAACACACATTATTTCATACCGATGAACTTTTGTTCCTTGAGCCACAACACTATGCCTCTGTGCCTTTGCTATTTTATCTTCCATGTACTTAGTCACTATGCTGCCAAATATTATCTTGTTATCTACCATTGAGGGACCAATTTTCTTGTATCAATTCCTGAAGTAGGCCTGCGTGCCGTGAAGGATAAATTCGACTATACCAACCAACGGTAGTCCTCGCACTCCTCGCATTACCCAGTTGTAAACCTCGGCTAGATTAGTTGTCATTATGCCATATCGAGAACCATCGGTATCGAACAATAGAGACCACTTCTCCTTTGGTTCATTCTCAATCCAATGCAAGAACTTTTGGATAGATGATCCCGACCTCCTTCTCATTGTGGGTGGGTCATCATGTAGTGCACCAAGAGGTACTGGGGGCTCGTCACCTTTAGCTTGTGGTCAACGAGATTGCTCGTCAGTTTACTTGGTTGTCAACTCATCTAACTTATTCCACAACTCATTAAATTTCTTCTATTGGTTCTGTGCACAGAGCCTCTTAAAAAGATCCATAAGATGCTTGTTCTTGAATTGCTTGTAGAAATTAGCACCCATGTGACGCATGCACCACCGACTCCGAACATCGGGCCACTTAGCTAGAATTCCCTTCTCATCCCAACCGTTCTGCAAGTAGTCAATAGCCCGCAACATGCCTGCATGACGATCATGTATAAGGCAAACATTGGGCCTCACACACACGACTTTTCTCTGCACTCTTTCCAAGAACCAGTACCAGTTTTCAGTGTTATCACTCTCTACAAATGCAAAAGCCATAGTTAACAGCTGATTGTTCCCATCAACTCCAATCGCTGTCAATATCTGACCTCTGTATTTACCGATCAAAAATGTTCCATCTATACATAACACAGGCTGGC